ACCATCTATCTGGTTTTATACATCTTTAGAAATAGTACAGCAAGGAAACAACCAGAGATTGAATGGAAATCAACTCCCAGGCGCACTATTTCTTATTAAAAATGGCTGGACTTTTCCCACTGGAAAAGATGTCCATTGGTGTATTAAAAGACTAAGTTACTCCTCAACATGGCAAAACCAAAAACATTTATTAAATAGTGTAATATTAAATAAAATTCATAATCTCTAGGCTCTTAAACAGTGCAAGGGAGAAATGCATTATTCTGAAATATCCCAATGTTATTACAAAGAAAACAAAGTGAGGGGGGTGACAGCCCTGCTTAAAGGGGTCCTCTCTATTTAGACTATCAAATTTACTTACACTCTACTCTTATGAACATTAAAACTTTTTACAGAGACCAGTCACAAGCTCAGAGTCCGTCCTGAGACTACATAAAATGAAAGTACATGTAGGTTTCTCAATGTGTGATCTTCTGTTGAAATTTAAGATATGATTATTTTATTCAGTATGACTTTTTTTTTACTTGGAAAAAAGTGCCAATGCTTTAAGGATGTGGATCCGTTTCTTAAAATTCATCAGATCAGTATTAACAGGAAGAGAAGAAAAAGGTTTTAGATCAAAACTTGTAGAGGAAAACCTGCTATTGTAGCCTTGAAGCCAAACTTCAGGCAAGCAGGGAGAAAAAAAAGCTCAAAAGAAGCTCCCAGTCATGATCTATTCGCTGAAAATTCACATACACAGCTTCTCAGAGTACTTGTTCATCTCAGATGGGTCTGAACTCACATGAGTGAAGGCGTATAAATGCTGAAGAGGCATTGGACTTCTGCAGAGATCTTGTGCCAGGTAAGAATTCAGTTGCTAGTCCCTACCACATTGGCATTTGATTTTGTTTTAGAATGTACTCATATACTTCTTTCTCTGCCTCACAGTGGGCAGTTGTTTCCTTTCTAAAAATTACCCAGAAAATGTTATCCATAGCAGTCTAGTATTTTCTATCTTACTCTGCCTCCTTTCCATTTGTAAAAAAAATTTTTTTAAGTTTCTCTAGTTAGGCAAAGTTAGTTCAAAAGTTTTCACCTTTCAAAATTGTCATGAGGTCATGAAAGGAGGTATATTCCGCGGGTCATTACATACTGCAACATCATATTTGTCTAGCCAGTTATTTAGAGTGATCCATACAATTCCTAGAGCAATAGTCACTGAGTCTTTGTTGCTTATGTCTGAAATGTCAGTCAGTGGGAGCCTTTGCCACAGGAGGGCCTGTATTTATCCATGACGTTTCCAGTACGCAAGACCTCAGATGGACCTGATGTGTAAGCCAGCTCCCTGCAGCATTTCAGTTTCTACTTTTCAGCTCTCTTTCATGAAAGTCACCAGTTGCTAGAGCCCATGAAAAAAGGAAATGAAAAATTAAATTTATAGAAAAATCAGAGAACGAGTTGCATCTAGGAGAACCTGCTTTAGCAGGGGGATTGGACTAGATGGTCTCCCAAGGTCCCTTCCAACCCTTGCGATTCTGTGATTCTGTGATGTCATGTCCTGGGACGTGAGTCCTGGTAAAGCTGAGCCACCTGATGGCTGTAGCATATGTAGCCCACTAAAAAGTACTCTGCGAGCTACAGGGCTGAGAACTCCAAACCATTCTCTTTCTCAGGATCAAAAAGAGTATTTTGCAAAGCAAACAGCCTAAGGATTACCTCGCTCTCTGATACTTGCTCTGCAGACAGCCTAAGGATTACCTTGCTCTCTGATACTTGCCCTCATGTATGTTAATATGCTGAGCTGTCAGCCAGAGGACATCTACTTGGATCCTTAGCTCAGAGGGGCAATGAGGGCTGGAAACAAGAGGAGCAGAGCTTGAATGCACTGAGAAATAGATAATTTCCTGTACAAAGATGCAGCTGAATGAGTCTTATTTGTCATATCAGAGGAGATCACTGCGAACTCCGTGAAAGTAAAGAGGCAATGCTGGTATAAATCAGAACAGAGCTGCATTCCATGTCTGCTCTCTCCCTAAGACTGGCTTAAAAGTTGTGTTACTAGCTGTCTGATACATCTCTTAAACCAGAAAGCGTCATACCCCTGACCTGGCTCCTGGGTTTGCCTTAGTAATGTTGTCATTCTGTCACCTTCAGTGCTTCTAGGATGGTTGGAGCGAGCTGAGAAGCCAGACCCAAAACCCTAGCAAAGATGGTAAAACATGCAGTAAAAACATCTTCTTGCAAAAAAAATTTTGGTTTGTTTTGTTTTTCATTCAGGCTGCTGCAAGGAAAATATAGCTGAAGATAAAAAGCTGGTAATTCAGTTGACAACAGAGGAAAAAAGCACTTTTCTAGTACAGCAAAATTGTCATAGATTTCTTGAAAATATATAGTGGTGCAGACTGCTCTATTTGTGAGCATTACGTGTCCTGTGTTTTATTATCTTCTCATCTCCCATAAAAAGCCTCTGAAAAAAAAATTCTACAAAACGTGACCTTTTGCTTTCATCACTTCTCCTTCTAAAAAGAAAACTAAGGAGGTTTTGCTACATCTTTGCTCATAGCAGTTAAGTGCCTCTGTTAGAAGGGTCGTGCCTAGGCTAGGACAGTCTAGGTTTCTTGCATGGCCCCTGGACATAAATCAGGAAAGAAACTGAATTTAACGTATTTGTCTCACTCTGAAGAGAAGTAATTTTCTGATTGCCTGAGAGGGGGGAAAATCAGCTTCAAACCCTTATTCCAGATCGATGAAGAATTCAGTTTCACTGAAAATATTTAACATACTTTGACGGGTTGTAGTAATTTGGTCACATAGTGCTTCAGTGGAAGAATGGTGATATGGACTATTTCATCAAGCAAAATGTCTTCTCTGGGTTGAAGACTGTGGAATTACAGTATCACAGATACATTGGCATTTTCTTCAATAGTCATTTCCCTCAAGGGCAAGTTTGCTTTTGCCATCTTAAGTGTGGTATTCACTACTCACTCCCTAGATCTGTAGCATGTTAACAACTGCAAAAAAAGAAGTAATTTTTCATGCACCAGAAATTATGACATTCTAAGCATCCATATTCTGCTTTATGCTATATTTCATTCCTTATCACACCAGTCTAGACTGCAATATTAGCCAGAAATAGAGGTTACATGACAGTATTAAATAAAAGAAGGGAACTGTGTTTTCTTTTTTTTTCTTCTTACCCATACAGTAATAAGCTAAGCACATCTGCAATTCAGTTTTGTATCTATCTGGGGTGCTGCTAAGCATTGCAGATGGCCTCTGTAGAAAATTTAATCTCTCTCATGTTATGCAGAAGATCCAGACGATCCCTCTGAGCCTCACTGTAGAAACTATAGGAGCAGAAGGATCTTACAAGCACGTTCAAGCCTGTGCATTCAATAGCTCATAAAATATGCATAAAGTCCTTTAGATTCCAATGTTCAAGAAGATAGATTAGCCCAACTTATCCAACTCTTCAGCACCAGCTACCACTTCTAAATATAGCAAGTGGAAGGGAGGGGAAGAAAGCTTGTTTTCTGTTGATTCAAGTGAGGGAAATAAGGCATCAGGAAACACACATGTTACCAGAAGGGGCTTTTTCGCAGGCCATGCTTTGTACAGCTGTAGCTATCCCGCTTCATACCACAGCTGTGCAGTGCCCAAAACACTGAAAGGAAAGCAGAGGTTCCCATCACAGACAAATTAAGCAAGGTTGTATGGGAAGAGGGAAGGGAAATGGGGACCCCACCAGAGTAAGCAGCCTCCAGCAGAGCCACCTGTGCTTACCCAAACCCCAACCAGCACAGCTTTACAAGGAACGAGGCAACAAGCAAAAAGTGACATGGCTTAACACTTGCTAAAGCAGTTTGGGCAGGATGAAATGCCGACCATGGAAGCCTTTTCTAGCCAATACCAATTTCAACAAGCTCTTAAACCTCTGTATTGCTGGTGCCAGTACAGACTGAGAGCAGCAGCAGAAGGAAGCTGTGCAATGTCAGCGTAAGCAGAAGGAAGTGGCCCACTAAAGTACCCTGTTAAAAAGTACTCTGTGGTAGTGCATGAATGCTAACACATTTTCAAACTGGAGTATATCCAATGTGGAGAGCCCACAGGCCATTCAGAGTAACCACTGACTAAGTCTCTTGTGCTTGTGTTGGGGAAACCCACCAAAAATCACAGAGGTATCTACAGTGCTGGAGTTGTCTGGGCATAGACCAGTGGCCCTAAAGCACTCACACCAGGCTAGCCCTTGAACCATAACAGTTACTAAGCTGAAAAAGCAGAAGTCTCATCTAACACTGACTTTCTATGTAATTTATAAAGCTATCTGGTGTTCTCACTTGATCACTGTGAGATCTACAGTGATATGGAGGATGAGAAAGCTCTGAGTACAACAGTGGTTATCAACATCTGTGATGTTAAATGTTTATGTAACTTTGTCTAACAACATGAATTTAGTACTGAACACAAAGCAGTCCTAAAAGAGAAAGCTGATTCATGGAACTTTTAAGAAATGTTTCTGTTCCTCTGTTGCCACTTAGAATTCAGGCCAGAATTCGGGATTTTCAGGGATGTGCTAAGCGGCATAGTCTTGGGCTAGTCCACATCACAAAATGTTTATTCTCACTAATTTTTTTTAAACTGCAGCTACTCAATAATCTCAAGGTTGAGTTTCATTCTCACGTAATCTTGGGGGCATGACTCAGAACTCTGTGAGCAGAAACACATGTTATTGCTGATGATCCCCGAGAAAAGAAGGGAAGACGTCACATCCAAAGGGTTGATAACACAGTAAGTTTTGCAGGCTAAAAATATCTCTATAAAGAATGTAGAAAAATATATTTCAGAGTTCATGTTACGGCCAGTGACCTGAGTTTAAATGTTTCCAATGATCAAACCAGAAGTATACTACAAATGAATTTTTATTGACTGAATTGGATAAACACATTAAATTTTAAAAAATCATATTACAAACTGGTGGAGTACCATAAAATCAGTTTGTACATGTGGAGATGCCGTTCTTAGCCCGCACAGCTCCTGCAGCGCTGTAGCCCATTCTCATTGCAAGCGGTACATTTGAGGGCTTTGAATGAGTCCGTAAAGCAATTCCGAAACACAGACATCTTGCTCCCATGGCACGCTGAGCACGGCAGGAAACCAAAGCCCCCGCAAGAGGGGCACTCCTGAGGGTGCTGGACTCTCTGCTCAAAGAAGAAAGTGAGAAAGACAAAAATGTTACCTCATCAACCACCATAAATTCTAGGAAAATGGGGGCTCCAGGACAGCTGAGAATACACATTCTGGTTCCCATCTTGAGCAATATCCACTGCCCCATCCCAAAATATACCACCATGGGAGAAGACCATTATGTCTGCCTTTTCCTTTGGTCAGATCCACATGCAATGGTCACAGAGGCTCACTGCAGGTTCATCAGTCATGTTATATCTTAAAATCACAGAATCATAGAATTGTTTAGGTTGGAAAAGACCTTTAAGATCATCAAGTCCAACTGTTAACCTAACACTGCCAAGTCCACCACTAAACCATGTCCCTAAGCACCTTGTCTACACATCTTTTAAATACCTCCAGGGGTGGGGACTCGACCACTTCCCTGGGCAGCCCCTTCCAATGCTTGTCAACCCTTTCTGTGAAAAAAAATTTAGTAGCCTGTGTTTATACTTGCCAAAATAACAAGTTAAATGACAGCTTGCATACATTAATCTGATGTAGCTTTAGGTCTAGATCAATTCTAGGAGGTATTGCAATTGATTGAATCTAAACTCCAGGCAGTTTATGTTGGCATCATATTTTCCATGCTGTGTGTTAAGATATTATGACTTAACATTTGCGTGCTTGTGCTGAACATGTTGTTCCTATTACAGTTAAAGTTGATCATATCAAAAAGCAATTCATAGCTTCTGACAAGTAGTGCTTGAGGAAATAAGTGGCCTATTCAAATTTAAGGATGTAGAATGCTGAAACTTTAAGTGCAAAAAGAGAAATATCATCGATATTCAACAGTTATACCTGGAGAAAATTGCTGCAAGCAAGGCTTGGGCTTCCTCAATTGCCCTAAATTCCTGAGTAAAACAATAACTTTACTTTTTTTTTTTTTTTATTAAAGACAATGGAGAACACAGGAAGAAATTTCAAAAACGTTTTTAAGTTTCACTTGGTGAAAATGTTTGTAATTTGTTTAATGACTGCCTTAAAGTTCTATATCAAAGAAATGAAAGGTGCACCACGTTGGGTACTTACCATAGCACAGATACAAGGCTTTAACATTGCGCTGCTGAATAAGGGCTTTACAGATTTATTTACAAAGGAAGAACAGTAATCAATAAAATTTCTGCTGGTGTTGGTCTGAGGAATTATGCATCACTAAAAAAATTAGTCACAAATTATTACCAGAGTATACTAAAATATGTACAGATAACGTAGTCCTTCTTGTAGCTTCAACAAGAAAACAGAAGAGATTTCTGCAAAGCCATTAATAATAGCACTCATCTATTGACAACTCAGACGAACATGCAAAAAAGGCACTTTTTCTTTTTGTTCTGTAGCTCATAAACTCACCATTCTTTGCCACTGGGAAAACAACTCCTATTACTATTAATTTCTCCAGGGACAATATTTGGAAGTATGTAATGTAAAATGAGCATTCTTTTTATCTCAGGTGTGTCCACATCTTTCATAATTTATGATGGCAGCTTACCTCATTGGAAATTATTGCAAATAATCTCAACACTTTAAATCTTTACATTCATTATTGTTTGTTAGGTATGTAAATATCTTATCTTTCCATGTAATTAAGAGAGCGAATAAAAAACAAATGCAAAATCGCTTTAGCTCAGTTCCTTGAACAATGGCCATTTCCTTCCTGAATGTATGACGTTTTGTGTAACCACTTTCTGCATCTTTGGTAATGCAGAAACCTGACTGCCCCTTGCAATTGTAGCAAAGCTATCTTTGCAATACAAAAAAAACCCCAAAACCCACCAGGCAACAATGTGTTTGAAGCAGTGTTTGTTTACAGTAAGCAGTTACCTTGGTCTGCTGGAGTCTGGCATTGTTTCTCTTTACATGTACTTTCTGTCCCAAGATTAGGACACCCATTGAGCTAGATAATAACATTATAGGACCCCCCAAAGCAGGAAAAATGAAAAATGTTAAGGAGCTGTATTAGCTAACCTTTCTAGTCAGATAACAAGAGTGCTGCATGCTTTAATCATCTCTATATATTTGTTTAATAGTTTCTGGTTAGCTATTCAAATGGTTCAACATGGCCAGCGGGTTCTTCTGCATTTTATGCACTGAGTCATGAGGCAAGGAGGCTTGTGTTGGGTTAAGGAACAGGCCAAACAAATGCAGAAGGTACCACCTGCACCGCAAAGGGATGAGGCAGTTCACGATTTACTGGGTAGTATTAAATCCACCTCCTGAATGAGCCAGAGGTGAATAACCCTTGGGCTCAGGCTGACTAGAACTTTTGGAGGAGTTCAGGGAGGAGACTGGCTGCAAGAAACTAGCACACTTCACGCACAGAGGTACTCGTGTGATAAACTCAAAAGATGTATGGTGTACAAAGAGTTACTGAAAGCATGTTAGGAAAACAGATGCTGTAGTTTGACTAAATGCAGAAAGAAAAACCTGGGGGCTAAACCAACTAGATGTATCTTTCTTTTGCTCTTTCATCAGTGTTTTTTATAAATATCATACCCTCATTATCTATTTTTAATGTTGATGTTACAGGCTTCTGAAGTTTATGTGTTATCTTAATTTGGTTAGGGCTGATTTCAAAATAATAAGATAATTAATAGCAATACGTTTCTTTTCTAAGGACACAGCTATCCATATAACCCAGACGCTTTGACACACATCTCCCCAAAATGTTCTTCGATGCAGGTTATCCAAAGGAAAATAGAAAATGCCTTGAGCAGCCAGTAGCACAAGACCAGCAGAAAAGTGATGACCAGTAGACATCCTAGCTTACCACAAAGCTGTGGGAGCAGACCCACACTTCGAGTGTCCTCAGGGAGCGTCCATCAACTGTTCACAATAAAAGGCAAACTTGCCCCAGAGAACTTCAACAGACACAGCAAACTGAGAGCTGGAGAAAGGTATGATAACCTGTAATCTGAAATGTGTGAGAACTGGTGCAATTGGAAACTTCCAGCATTTGTCCAGATTTTGTTGATGTCCAGCTTTAGGCCTGGCCAGACTGCAGGTGTGCAGGTTCCCAAGGTGTTCACTGCGGTACACAGAGAACTGGCGCAGCATCCACACAGGAGGCCTGACTCCTCCAGGGCATGGTGAAGGTTAAATACCAAAGATGATGTCAAAAGTTATGGGAAAGGGAAAATGACCTGCTTTTCCTTCTGTGGCAAAACCAACAGAAAATAGAGGGGGGCTTTTTGGTTTGATGTTATTGCCATTCACATTTTCTCAAACTATGATACTATGATATCATCCATTCAAAGAGAAAAACAAACAAAAAAAAACATTTGGGATCACCAGTTTTCAACAGAAGGAAAGGAACTGGTAAAAAATAATCTTCTCAATTACAAATATTCAATGTACGTTCCTTATATTTATTTGCAGAAATACAATTACCTCAATTTTGGTTAAGAGATCCTGCAGTTCCCCAGATTCATTCATTAGCAAAATTTTCTCAGCACCCTATTAGTAAGAAGAAGAAGAGAAAAAGGTCAGCCAGTTTAGCATGAAAAAACAGAGATGATCAGAAGATGTGGTCTTGAAAATTTAAACAGGCTGAGGACAAATTTGACTCACATTAAGTATTTTGTAATTAGGTCAACCTTAGGAAAGTTAGAAGGAGAGGAGAATCTAACCACAGTTCTGATAGAAGTGCCTGTGGTTCGTCACCAAGTGTTGTATCACATTGCCTTTTTGTAAAAGGTGACACAGCTTGGAAATTCTGGTTGTGTTCACTTTATTTTACAGGGTGTGCTTCCTGACAGAATAAAAAATATGTCTAGTTACTGTGTCAAAAATTACAATTATATAAATATACAACACATGAGAGAATGCAGCAAAATGAGAGGAAGAAATTGTATTTCAAATATTCTGGCAGTTGAGCATTGAATTAAGACATAATATGCCTAATGTATAACACAAGGAGAAAAAGGGTAATGAAAATACTGTAACAACATTAAAGTCAGACACAACAATGAATAATAATAATTTAGTCTGAGTACATCAGGCCTCTGAGGGGTTCTGTGATCTGAACCGAGGCAGTACTGAAGTGGTTTTTCTTTCTTCGTTCTGAAAGTAAATGCTAAAAGATTATTGCAGGCAAAATGAAAGTGTCAAAGATGATGTAAAACTTTTTTTTCCCCTTTTCTTCTAATTAGAGGGCCACATTTGAATGCTTACACTTCACTTATGTAACCACAGTCACTGAATACTAAATATTACCAAACACCTACAGACACTTTTCATCAGTGGGTCACAAGAAACTGAGAAAAGTTGAAGAAACTGCGGCACAGACAGAGGTAACTGCACAGCTCTTACTCGCTGCTAAGGGTGATTGGACACATCTAGACTGGGTGGCGGGTTCATGCCGTCGCGATGCCCCAGTTTGCTAGTCCCTGCATGCCTAGGCTGTTGAATTTCACCTTTGGATTTCCTTCCAGCATGAGCTGGGAGGTGTGGTGGGATGCTAGCACAGGGCTGAGACTGGCCATTACTTTGAGCTGCCCACAGTCAGTCACAGGGGCTCTCAGCCCCAGCTCACCACCAGCACTGCTCTCCCTGTTACTGGGAGGTACAGGAAAGGCTGCTGGGGAGCACAGGAAACACATATGGGCTAGTTATGTACATGCTAGTGTCCAACTGTTCGCAGTGCTTAGCTGAGGACTGCAGAGGGTACAAGTGTGTAGCCAAAAGCCAACTAAGGGCCACCAAAACGTTGCAAAGGCTTTTGTATGTCCCCCTGCTAAGGTCAGTTTCCCCACGCAAAGTCTTTTTGCTCTGGCTTTGTACAAAAACGAAGCGCTTTTGACTCTATGTTTGATGATTTTCGTTTAGTTAAAAAGCAAAATATTAGTATTTTAGTGGATGTGTGTCACTTTTGCAGTGAATACTACTCTTACAGTGCTGCACTTCCAAAGAGATTTTTTTTTAAAGAAGTACCTCCAAGGTAATTAGTTGTGGTTAGTCACAGCAGTGACAGGAGACTCAGATCAGTTACCCTTACTTGCGCTGACTCTTTTATTGAAATCTGTTATAGACCACGGGCACAGAGTATACCAGCTTTAACATATGCATCCGGCTCCCTGTGTCCCCAGCAGAGCAGCTTTTAGCAGTCCATCGGCCCCCTTTCACGCTTGCCCTCTCAGCTTTCTCTGCTTTCACAAGAACGGGCAATAGGAGGGACTGGCACAACAAAGCGAGGGCTTGCCAAGGCGGCCCCCAGAGGGTTAGCTCAGAGCCCAAATACACTACAGCGGCTTAAGACAAAGCTTGTACAGCCCATCGGATGCAGAGACATTAAGGATTTGCAGCTTTATTGATGTAATTGCAGGACTGCAAATTCCCTAAGCCAGGCAAGCCCCAATTCTCCCCCCTTTAGGAAAGGATCTCAGTTGGCAAAAGCATTCCTGTGACTTCTGCTCCATGTTAATGCTGTACGATAATGCTGACTGGCTTTTGCAGCAGGGTAATTAAAAGTCTGACAGGTTTCCCATTACAGATTCATATTCTAAAGGATTTATATTTCACATGACACTCAGTCAGCCAGCTGTGTTACTTTCAAAGTGGAAAGCCTCATTACTATGGTTTTAAAACTAAAAACCCAATGTCCGAATGGCTATCAATGTTTTTAAGTGTTTTAGCATGTCTTTTCTGATTAACAGCTGCCTCAAGTGAAATTTGAATGAAAGATACTTTGAAGAGATTAACCTTCCCTTTGGATCCATGAATCTTAACACACAGAGTCTGTAATTAGTAGAGTAATTAAAACAGCTGTTAAATAAGTCCAATAGCTGCTTTCTGACCAGAAAGTGATGTTTTTCTTTCTCTTCCTAGAGCATACTCAGTCCACAGTTACCCACAAAGGCATGTGAAAGGTTGAAGAGCGTGTCCCTCCTTAGACTCACCTAAGGAGCACGAGGGACGGTGGCCATAACCTTTACAGAAGCAGCAGGGAGAAGTGAGTTTTCAGTTTTGTTAACCAGTTAAACTTCAAAGCACCTGCCTGTAAATCTTTTATCTACTGACTTCAGTAGCTCTTTACCATGGTGGAGGAGCCCAGGAGCTGTGGTCAGGTCTTTGCCCTTCTTTTGGCAAGGAAATGCCACAGACTTGGCTAAATCACTCAACAGGTTTTCAAGACCTCTTCTATTCTTCAAAATATTTTCCCAATTTTCTCTTGAGAATGCCCAGAAATTAGCATCATAATTCAAGTACTGTCCCACTAATTGCAGAACTAGGATAAATCCAAGGTTCATTCAATTTTCTACTGCCCTAGCTCTGTCCTGTCACTAAACCAGTCTGTTGCTCGCCTATCTTGGATGTAGCCCATTACAATTTTCACAAAGCAATTCTTCATCAAGTGATACCCGTAGGTATATGGCTCTGCATCTGGCTGTAGCGGAATACCTGCTGATTTTCGGAAGCAGCCTCTCCGCCACATGCTTCCTTATGTGCCGAGAAAAATTAGCATGGCTTTGCAACATCTCTCCTGCAGACACATTTGCTGTGCAGATAAGTTGCCTCCCTATCTCCTTAAAAACAGACTTTTGCTAAGTTTACGGGAGAGGCCTCTTGCTAAGGCAGCAGAGTGTAATCACACGCCTTACCCTTACTGGACCTGCCACGGTTTTTTCACTGTGGCTTAGTGAGGAGATAGACTGGATATACCTCTGTTGTTGCCCAAAGCTCACGGAGTTTTCAGCCTATAACACTATGCCTCTCACAACGAGATGCCCCCCAAGCAGCAGACACACATGGAGTGTGATTAAATGCTTGGAACCCTGCCCATAACCTGGGAAAATTGACCCAGCACTATAGTACCCGCACCAGAAATGTTGGATTTGATATGCAAAGAGCTATTAGATTAATTAAACCCTGCTGACCCTGAAACGTTAAACTCCAAAACGGAAGAAGCAAGTGGGGAAATGCCAGGTGACTTGATACAATGATTACATCACAGGTTCACTGCCACAGAGCCGTTCATATCCACCCCATCAAGTGAACGCCAGGAGAATGTATGTAACAAAACATGGAGGCAATTGAGAGCTACTAATCATATATCGCCACTGCAAAGCAGCAAAAAGGCAACCAGTGCTACTTGCATGACAAAAAAGATGTCACAGAGATATTTTCTAAAAGTCAATTACAAATTTAGCCTCCTCATTCTTAGGCAGTAATCATAACCTATGAGTCAAATAAAATAATTTTACTGTAAATCTCATGCCATTGTGGATTCATTACAGCTAGAAAAAGGAAATAGGAAACAGTTTCTTCAGGAAAAAAAAATATTAAATTCACATATTTGAAAAAGATTCAGGTAGGTTTATATGGCAGGTGAATACTGAATTCAGCCACATATTTAAAGTGAAAAATAAAATTAATTTTAAAACTGTGCAGTGTCCTAACATGTTTACTGAAATTTACTCTATTTGCCTTTTTTCATGTGCATTCCTTTTCCAGCAGAGTGGGTCTTTATATAACCTCTAACACTCCTGGGTATCTTTGTAAGAGTAAATTAATGCTCCTTTATTTTTTTTTTTTCCTGTGTTGCTTTCTGGTTTTTGGAAGTCATTTTTTATACTGCTTTGGTGTCCCAGCAGATGGCATAATTCCATTTCAGATGGAGACAGCCGCAGGTGAAAAGGAGGGATTAGATCAGCTGGTAAAGAGCACGCTGCAGAAAGAACCTGCAATTTCCTGACAGACTGATATTTAGGTAGTGTGTGTCAAGAAGTACAATGATTCAGTCCTGGTAAAATGAGAAGATTAAAAAACCTGCTGTACTGCAGCACGCAGGACTTGACTTGACAGGGGCTAAATAAGATTTTTCTCTTGCTTCTGCCCAAGACGCTGTTTTGTTTTGCTTCCCCTGTGCAGGCAATGACAAATTCCACAGCGCCCTGAAGATTTATCCACGCAGCCTGCAGTGCTCTAACAACCTTGTCCCTGCTTCCGAATGGCTTGGGTACCGTATACTCTATCAGATGCACATATGCTGTGTTCTCCTGCTTTTGTTACATTTATCTCATTAAAAAATAATCCCATCCCCTTTCAAAACTGTTTCAGGGAGGGATTTGCCAGGAAATAAATATTCAAAAATTTTAAAAAGAGAGACAGAAACAGAGAGAGAAAAAAAAAATATTGCATGATTAATTTTCTGACATACCAGGCTTCTGGATTTCTGTGTTGTATTTGCATATCAGAAGATAATTATTATAGCAGGCATTATAGAAATATCCACTGTTACCAATGAGACCAAAATCTGTAATTAGCTCTCAATTGTATTTTAATGAAACACAAGCCCAGCACAGGTTCCAGACAACTTACTGCCCTTGGAGTCACTGATGCATTTTTCTTCTTAAGGTGCCAAATCCACCAGGCATTGACGTAGCTGCTGGGGGGGCAGGGCGGGGGGGGGGGATTCCTTCCGCACCAGACCTCGATATGCAAAGTGCCTCCCCCCACCACTTATTTCACTTCCTAAATGAATGAATGCCAGCCTCCCTTATGAAGCCATATTAAGACAAAGAAATAAAAACTGCAATAAAATACATTTACCAGAGCGTGTGGACACAGGTCCCTTGCCAGCATGAGTGACATGTTCCCCCTGGGGCTGTCCCTTCCCATCGCCCTGCCAGTGGCTGTCTGAGCTCTGCTCACCTTGAACTTGGTTTTCCCATCCTGGTTCATCTCATCTAAAGCACACTAGAGAGTCGTTCTGTAGCGACAGCCCCCAAGCAGCAGTGCTCCCCGGTGTGATGATAACTAGCAGAGAGCAGTGGAGGGCAGAAAACCTGTCTGTGAGCGTGGGTGAGGGGCACCCACATTGGTGAGCAAAGGGCTGCCACTGTCCTGGCCGCCCATGATGCTCCCCGTGAGCAGAGCAGGCATCTCCTGTACTGCTCCCTGCCTGCGAAGCAGATTCTCCACAAATAACTTTGCTATTATGTGGAATGACTTTCATCCTCTTCTGGAGCTGAAGTCTGCTCCATTTAACCACAGTGTGCCTCATCAATTTAATAAAAAAAAGAAAAAAAGAAAACACACACACAAAGTCTGATTTTGTCCTGTTTTTTAGCAGATCAATACTTTTTTTTTTTTTTTTTCCCTTGGGTTAAACAATGTCAGTGGCATTGCCATGCTGTAATAAATGTCTGTAGACCAGAACACCGAATTCTTTCTTCATTTTTTTACCTACAGGAGGTAAAACCTGCTGAGTACCTGTCAGCAGGTAGCTGGACAGCTAGATTTGTCTCTCCCCCAGACAGCTTCCTCATTCACTTGCCTTCCCTTCTATACCTCCTCAAAATATCTCCTTCAATACTTAAATAGTTTAAATGAGATTCTATTGCTTGTTACACTGTTGCTCCTCTGTTGAAAGTTTCCCATGATCTTGTAAAAAAAAAAACCACAGCAGCAGTGAATTAATGGACCATCCATCATGCCAAAAGGACTGTAACCAGGCTTCATCTAGAGCTGAGCAAATAATTTATTCAATCCATTTCGGTATTTTAACTGAATTCTTTTGGCAAATTAATCACACATGGACTGAGATTTTCTTGGACTCATAACTCACTACTTTTATTTTTAATGTGATAATTAGGGGAGCAAATCTTAGTCTGAATCCTGTTGAATCTGAAGCTGCTTTTGAATGAAGCACTGCTGTTCCTGGCTGGCTGAAGAACTCTCCGACTCAGGTTCTGGATAAAAGCATCCTCTACTAGGAAGTCAAAATCACTGCCTGCTATTATCCTGCATACAGGTGCTTTTGCAGTCGCTGCAGTGGCCTGCCGAGCCCTGTGCCAGCAAATGCATTTGCTAGAGTGCTCGGGGGAGCCCGCCTCGAGCAGAGCACACCACGAGCTAGGAAGGGGACAGGGAGAAAGGGTGTTTGAGTGTTATACAGGCTCAGTATCAATTATGCCTGATTGTGGATTACATTTCATTTTATTACTTAAGTGTTTTGTGAAAACGAAAGCGTTAAGCAATAAGAACACAATAACCCCACTGTGCGTAAATATAGTTTGCCTTCCCAAATCACAGTCTCGCTGTTGGTGCTAATTGCTGGTTCTTTCCTGCTCAAGACAAATACCTTCTCTGAGCTCTCAAGCTGTTTTCTTTGTGCCATTTTCCAGAATCTTTTCCTTTTACACTCTGACTTTTTTCAGTTTCTGAGAAATACATTTCAAAAGTACAGGCTAGCCTTAATAAAAAAGGTGATTTCAAATATCAGTGGGCTTTTAGACCCAGCGCACCAGAGTACAAATTTGGATATAATTTTCCATTTGGAGTTTATGTCTTGCACAAGGCAGAGTTGGGCTGTTTTTCTCTCTCTTTTACCGCTAGACTTTTCTAAAATTATTAAATTTAAATCTAATTCTGTACCTAAAACAATGTTCAGTTGATTACCGGTGCCTGATACAGACTACAGCATAAAAAAATTCAGTGCATGTTTAAGGTGTGACACTGCAAGCTGTTAGTTTCATATTCAACACAAACATTACTAAATGACAGGTTTATGCTATGTGTGTTCATCTTCCTGGGTCAATCATACATACAGGTTCCCACGAGGAAAAAAAAAAATCCAGTTCTCTAGATTTTCATGGTTTCAACTACAAAGATAAGCTATTTTTTAAGAAACGTGGGATAGCGTAGATTGTATTACTGCATCTTATTTCCCTCTTGATAGCCTCTCCCCAGTTATCTTTTGCATCTTCAGATCGTACCTATCAATGTGGACCTGTGCAGCACATACCACAACGGGATCTCTGTCTTTGATTGTTCCCATCGTTCCAGTATTAAAAACAATTTTCTAAAAACCCTGCCTCTCATTCATCAAGATTTTCACGTGTTCTTCCAGACTGCAGAATAATAATAAAAAAAAAAGGCTCAGGCATTACTTACCCCAAGATAATGGCCATCGATAAACACAACGGGGAGTGAGGGAACTTCACAGACCCTCCTGCATCTTTCATCTAGTTCTTTTCCATAATCACTGTTCAGAGCAATGTTTTTTTCTTCAAATTTAACTCTGTGATTTTGAAAGATCTTTCTAACCAGTTCGCATCTTTCAAAAGTGGTTCTCACCACACGAAGGCTGGTAGTATAAATTACTATGCGGCCAAACTCTAGCACTGTTGATACCTGGAAAAAAAAATAGTTCCTATTACATTAAATAAGGTGTTAGTAGCTTCCAACTATTGAGTAATTTTATTTAAAATACGATTTAAGCGAAAAAAAAAATCATCTTGAAGACATAATCCAACATTCTATTTTTTTCAAATGTAAAGATGGAAGGGGAGGAATTAAGTTCTTGCAATCACCAACTTAAGTGAACTTAAACCATTTATCTAAATAAGGTGCAACTTTACCTTCTTTTGAAAGCTTTGGAGATGGTGCATCAAGCCCAACATTTTCAAGAAACAGATGTATTTTAGATGCTGGTGGACTTCCAATGTGAATAAATCATCACCCTTTTGCTGTTGTCCTGTACACAGAGTCACCTGTCCTTCCCCAAGCAGTAAAATACAATGCCGTGAGTTAATCGCCTCTCATCTATTAAAGCACAAATTCTTCAAAGCTGCAATAATGACGTGGATGCAGGACTCTCCTGTCACCACCATTTTTAGAGATATCTGATTCTGCTATAACAGTGACTCATGTTTGTTTGCACAAATGCAGTCGGCTAGTACCCAGACTAAGTCTAAACTTGCTAGCTCAAGTGTTGTTGATGACAGCCTGCTTTAAGCATGGACAAGAGCCTAAGCTAGCTCCATCACATCCATAAACCAACACTAACTTGGAATACTTTATGTCCCTCCACGCTGAACTAGATTATAACTGCAGAGGGGACAGATGTATCTGTAATGTTTAGGGAGGATCCACGCCAGGTCACTCTAACATCCAATCAACAATAAAAAATTTCTTTTTGTGTGTCTTCAGTACCCAATTCAAAGCCCACTGCAGTGAGGGAAGGCAGTTATCTTGGCTGTAATAAGTTTCATTCTACAATTCGGATTTGACTTTTTACCCCACTTCTTCATACGTAAAAGTTTATGCTGCATCTTTCCTTTCTGGGTTTAAAACCACTAGGGAGGGTAAACACTACAGTTGTTGAAAAGAAAGTGGTACATTTTCAAAAAGCCTGAGAATTATTGCTCTAAACAAAGATATCATGTTCAGATAAATAGCTAAAATCCTAGCTTATTTACAAGGTGGTAAGGCATTTCCAAGCTTTTTGAATTATCCATTATATTCAGCAAATGATATTTAAATATTTCAGCAGTGTTCCAGGAGTAAAACCACAAGTTAGAAAATAATAAGTAAAGATACCTGCAATGCACTGTAGCAATCTGTGGAGAATGAACCTTTATCGGCCAATAGATAATTTTTGAACTATGTCACGTAATAAATTTAAAGACAAAGTTGTAACATTGGGTAGGTGCCATTGCAGATTTTGCCAAATAACAAAGTCATGATTTATCTTACTAGGTAAATTAAAAAAAAAATAATAATCATATACTGCTTAGAAAGGTGTTTACAAGGTTCAATGTATGGCGAAGAGTTCTTAGGAAAAACACCTGGGTTTTACAGATCACTTCTAGATCACTGGAAGTGCAATGGCAGACTTATGCAATTTATCGTTTTTCTGTCTCCCGTTCTGGGAAGGAAACATGTTGTGATAGGTCAGTATTTGCTTCTCTTTGAACGGATGTCAGAAATCCAATTTTAAGAACAGGCTACCTTTCTCCAGCCTGCTTTCTAGGTTGAAAAAGCTGTTATTCTGCTCCTGCAGCATTGACTCGTCTCCAGCATATTGTTCACATATTCCAAGTGCAAGGATTTGCTTGTCCTCTAATTAAAAGACAAGTAATATACATGAATGCTGCCAAGTATTCTAGTAACCATGCATGGGTTGCTGGAAGGAAGAGCAGTTCAGCCTTTTCAGAAGTAACTGAAAGGAGTTCTTGAAATATTCCTTCAAAAGAGAATTTCACATACTTGTTGTTTTCTCCTCTTTGGAATGAAAATAGGTTTTGAAGTAGAAAACTATTCAACGGGATGGAAGTTCTTGTTCCTTCATAGCTCTGATCTCTAATGCTGTTTGTCCCCAGACACCAGAGGCTGGCAAAATAGGTGCAGACAGTCCTTATCTAGAGAAGCATCAGGGCTGTGTTGTCCCTACAGCATACTGAAGACACGGAAAAATGGACAGTGGTAAAGTGATCTGGAAAGGTATCGAGTGGAAGGTGGGTGTGCAGAGTCACTTTTATGTTTATTTCTTTATTTTTTCCTAATGTGGCAATGAACAAATGCCCTTGTTTGCCCTGAAAAGAAGTATCAAGGGCATTGACTAAATAATTCTTAGGGAAATTTTAGCAAACACATTGTTTTCTGTGCTTCAAATGCACAGAACTTGTCCTTGGCAGGACTTTATCATACCAGAGAAAATCTTTCCTGTCACCTGTCTCGAACCACACTGGTAATTATAAAATAGGAGTCAAGACAGTTAGAGAGATTTACAGGGTTTTTCTTAAAGAGGATTTATGCTAATTTCTATTTTGCTACCCAATGCAAAGGGTACAGCCTCTAATATTTAGTGAGTAACATACTCTCTGGAAGTAGATCAGCAGAATAATGTTTGAATGCTGTGCTTTTCCTTCCTAGGTTGGAACTGTGGCAAAAACATAATAAATGACAAGCCATGTAAACAAATGAATAGAGTGCCATTTTAGAAAAAGAACTTTTACAATTTTGCATGACGAACTTCAGATTAGAATCATCTGGTATAACTCACAAATGCATATAAAATTTTAGCTGAAGTTAAAGAAAAGGTAGCTCTCTTGTTAATGGCCATGACAAAACTTTACTCGGGCTGTGGAAGTTGGATAGATGAACAAACAAAAAGATTTGGAGCAAATTACATTGACAAATTTCTTACACTTCCTATAAGTGGGATTCTCATTGAAACCTGAAGCTCATGGAAATTTTTCAGCCTGAGATGGCAACTTCATTGTCAGACTCAGAAAATGCCATGCACATGGGCCAAGAGTGCGCTTCAAAAAAGGTGTCCATGTAGAAAGACTGCCAAGGAAGGGATTTAAGGTTTCAGAGGGAAATAAAGTTGCTTTGGTAATGACCCTGTACATCATTTACAGGTTTTAGCTTAGCAGCACAGTGTTATCATCTCCCAAAGTGTCCAAAGGCAGTATCTGTTTTACTGCATCAGCCTGAGGAGCTTGCATTTTGCTTGGGAGCCTCAAGTAGGCAGCACCAGCTGCTGCAAGACCCGCATCACTTCCTGGCACAGACGCCACCCCCAGTGATCTGGGGACAGCTGCCCTTTTTTTCTCCATCTAGAGAGAAAAAGCAATTGGCTGAACATGAGAAAACTGAAAGATCCTTCTTATTTTGCACCTAACTCAGTCTTTTCCCAGACTTCTCTACCAGGTGGCTCAGGGGTTTCACAAATGAGGAGTTAGTTACACTTTGGTGCACAGCTAAGGGAAACCTATCCCTCTGCCATGGCACCAGCATCCATCCATCTGGCATGGTTGCAACTAAATGTAATCATTAACTGAGCAAGTCTTCTGCAAAAAGCATGAGGGGTGTCGTCCCATGAGGCTAAATACGTGAGCTTAGCATCAGGAGAGACCACAGAACAGAGGAGGAAATTGCTGATGAAAAAGAGAAGGCTTAATAGAGCAAGCAGATGAGCAACAAAAAAAAAGGGATGCAGGGGACTGAAAAAGGGCTGAAAAGACAAAAATAACCACAAATAGATAATAAACCAAAACCTGAAATGTCAGGATACTGACAAAGGAAGAGTAGTACAAACTAAATGTGGAAATAAAAACATGAAAAATATTACAAAAAAGAGACAGACAGGAAAACAAAACAAAGTAAATTATAAAACAGAGAAAAGGTCACTGCAATATGACTTCCTCAACCTTTTTCAGAAGAAATCCTGGTAGCCAGTGTAAGTATACAACAACGAATATATTGCAGAATATGTGAATCTCCAAGTTGTTTCAATATTTGGGGTATTTTTTTAAAAAAACTTTGTGTATTACTGGAGCTGTAGAAATATGAAATATTTGGGAAGCATACTGCTAAAATATGTGTTTGAGAATTTACCTTTTCTGTATAACAGCTGCCATGACAATAATAACAGATGTCTCAGTAGCTCTGAAAATATTGTATAACAGTCAGGTGTTTCCATGGTGCTTCTGAAAGCCAGATAAATATGTACATCATGAAACTCCCACGGACGTCTCGGGGGTCAGTCCTTCCCCACTATATCTTACCCCTGGCTTCTGGACCCAGTTGCAACAGAAGTAGCACCAAAAAGAGTCCGTGCTTCTCTACTGGTCCCATAACTACCCCCAGCCCTGACCAGTCCCCCCAGTCTGGGCAGACATCACTCACACTGCTGTTGGTGAGGGGAATTTATAAAATGAATTATTGAATAATAATACTAGATTATTTCTTCCGCATATTTGTCATGAACCGCTTTCTCAAGGTTATAGATTTTCTTTAATACCTCTTATGACATTTTTATGTCTGCCTTGCTGACTTCAAGTGGCTCTTTATCTTTGGAACAAAACTCATAACGTGGATTTTTTTGCAGCACGGCTAAGAGCTGGCCAAATACAGAGCAGAGGAAGTGGTCCAAGCCAATGCATTTCTACCTGTGGTATAAGGACCACTGGTGGACCTTTGGGCATAAAGCAATTGTTCCTAAAACAGTGGTAACGTTTTCTTTCCGAAAGCCTGTGCGTATGTCCGTGTCTGCAAGCAAGTAAACAGACAAGCCCAGCAGCGAGGGGAATATTCATGGTGTTATCCTCATTTTTATTTGGTTGCAAATGAAAACTGTAACAGCGGCACTACAAAAGTAGTCATGGGATATATTTTTTTTTTTTTAATCCTCTCTCTGGATAGAAGGCATAAACATATGCTTCAACCTCATTGGTATGAAAAGAATAGCTATTGATATTCATATCCATATGTAATTTATTTCAACAGTAGCATCACCCACAAATTTTCTTTTGAAGTACAAAGCAATAAATGCAAAAAAAAATCCCCACCAAACCCACTTTATACTTTGCATTATATGCATTATATGAGCAACTGTATTCTAG